CCCTCAGTCCCGTGGGGCTCGTCACTGCCCCGGGAACGCGGAGCGCGGGCTTGGGCCGGACACCAGACAAAGCCTCTGTTTTCTGTTATTCTGTATTCTGTTATTCATAATCGATCCGAACGCCAGCACAGGTGTTATGGGATTTCCGTACGAGGTTATCGTGGGTGTATCGCTGCTGAATACCTTTGGTAGAAATTAACGGGATTTGCTTCTTACTCTCGCAGTCAGCATGTAGCTGCTTGGTCCTGAAAATCCAAATTCCTTCTCCCTGCTACCAGGGTTTTCACAGCTTGTGGAGACACCAGATCTTGCGAATGGAATTTGTTTGTGCTTGGTGCTATTACTGGGAGATTTTCTTTGCATTTCACTCCATTCCGTTTGTTTTCTTTTAAATCGTCGTTTGAATTCCAGTGGTAAAACGGGAAGTGAAAAGTCTGTTTTCATGCTTCATTGTAACAAAGCCCACAGATGCCAAAATAAAACCCCAAGTATCCTGACCACACCTGATATCTTTCCACTTATACATAAAATTTTGGGGTTAGTTATTCTTTAGTGTTTGGTAAATGCAATTACACAATTCTTCTCTGCAAGATGGATTTTAAACAAATTTTCTATTCCAAAATGAGGCCTTTAGTTTGGTTCATGTACAGAGTAGCTGCTAGTAATTGTTTAATTTTGTGACTTGGGGTTTTGTCTAYTTATATATCCTTGCATTAGCACTATGCTGCAGTTCCTTTAGGAAGCACCAAGGTTTAGGCTTTTAAAAGAATGAAGATCATAAGTGTAATGTGCTCTGAGGCCACTCAAAATCCTTATAATTGTAAAGTATTTGAATTTTCTTGTCTGTTKTCTGGGAATATAGCTCCTCTCAACTGAAACTTAGTAACAAGTATTGCAGAAAACCCTACAGAGAACTACAATTATTCTAGTTTCTTTCTTTTCCYCCCAAACTTCAGAAACTTTATTTCTCACAGAAACCAAACATACATTGTCTAGAAAGAGCTGGTATAACAGTATCCTTATTTTACAAATAACAAGCAAAATACATGTAGTTGAGGTCAGAACTAATATTTCACTGTGACTAATGCAAGATTTAGGCATGCTCCAGCACAAGCTTTCAATTTAACTTGTCTAAAAACTGAGTTTTAGGTTTYCTCCTCTCTCCATTGCCTCTTCCTGTGAGGACAGAACTGAGGATGCATCCTCTCCACTATTACTTTGTTACTTAAGGAAGTGTTTTCACAATTAGTGTAAGCTTATCCTATACTACTCTGTTGCTGAGAGGGACTTTCCTGCCCCTTGTCACATGCTTGACCTGCTTTCCTGATTGCAACAGTAGTGACTGTGTGGCTGTGGAGCCATTTCAGCTCATTTATCGAGCTGAAGGCTAAGCCTCTGAGTAAAAGCAGCTAGTTTTCAAACAGCTTTTTTGGTTGGTCTGACTTGCATTAGGACTGTACAGAAAGATGTTAAAACCAGCACAAGGAAGCAAGACAGGTGAAGGGACAGCCACCCGACTCTTTCAGCAACATCCATCCCATAGCTAGGTTGTCATGAGGACAAGTCATAACAAATAGCTGTATTCATGATTTTAGGACTTCAAATATTAGATGACTGAGATGGAATGTGAAGGACTGCTGTTAATTAGTTAAAATAATTACTTGCATGCAAGTAGTTATAATAATTAGYTGCATGCAATAATTTTCTGTAGAAMAAAATATTTCTTTAATTCACACAGWGRGAAAATATTATGCTTTATATGAATATGATCCTTTAAATGTTGTAATATAAAAGTGGAGTGAGATATATGAAAATAGAGGCCTCCCATCTTTCAGCTGTTTGCCATGTATTTTGATCACTGCTATAGAGCACTGACAGGTTTAAAGCAGAGAGTTGTATCACTGATGGTGAAAATTATGATAGGAGAAAAATTGCTTCTGTAGAGGCTCAGGCTGCCTGCTGTAGTGACCTGCCAAGAGAGAACCCTGCCATCTTGTGGAATGCCTTGATATCAAAGCACACAGCTTTGCTTCTCAGAAGACACCTTATTTTTTTTTCTTTTTTGCTTACTTGTTTGGGTTTTTTTCTTTATTTCCCATGATTATATTTTTGTTTCTACAGAARTGGTGTGACTGGCTCAGGAAGCCACTTGGGCCTGGAGCTGGGAGAGTATCCAGGAAAATACCCTGAAGAGTCATCACAGGATTTTTCCACTCTCATAGACTTCTCTTGGCCTCTTTTTCATCCATGTCAGAGCCTGGTTTCTGAATGAAAAGATTTGGCCAGATTGGGTAGGCTGTTCTTAGCATCAAGGTAAATAGAYCTGTCAGTAAATGTTAACTTCATATTCCAGTAACTGGCAAAAGGTGGAAGAAAAGAGCATTAAAGACTGTCTACATGCAGTCTGTGAAAGATGCCATTTTAGCATTGGCAAGATACAGAAARATTTTTGAAACGGTGCCTGCCTTTCTGATGAACATACAACCCAAATGCTACACTGAAAGTTTTTTCTTATGCATTTTCTAATAAGACTGCATTTGTTCCCATTATTATAGATATAACAGATTCCGTTCTTAAAGTCTGTATTTGAATATACACTCTGTGCTTCCTACAATTTGGGCATGGATTTTGTTATAATATGTTTTAAAAGGATAGTCTAACTTGCAAAATGTAGATGATACTCTGAATGCAGTTCAAACGTCCTTCAAGCGGGGAACTTGGAACCAAAGGTTTYAATTCAGGCTCATTTTTGTCTCTAGATTTAAGAAATACCAACAAATCATTCAAGGGAAACAAAAAGGCCAGTCTATTCCCAGTCTTTGTTTTAAGAAGCAATGGAAAGTATTCTGCTTACCCAGTATCATTATTAATATAAATTTAGGATTATGATCTCATCTTTTGTCCTGTTTATGATCTCAGCTTTTGTAGAGGCTGGTGCAGACTACCAA